TAATCTCCAAAAGGCCGATAAGACACTCGTAGCGCCTCTGGTGTTTTGGGTGTCCATGGACGGCGCTGATTGCGTAGGTGATCGTATACCGGCTTATCACATAAGTAGTGTAAAAGATAAATGATCAATTCAGATTTCAGAATAATTAAACTATTTCTTATGATTTCGTAGTTATTTTTTTTAATTAACATCACTACCATATAATAATGAGCGCTTATCGGCTGTCTAAAGGTATCACATCGGATCGTGTGGGTCTCGCAGGCACGCAATGTCGTATTTACATGAACGAGCACCTGACGCTTCGTAATAAAGAGTTATTTCGGAAATGTCGCGAAGCTGCAAAAACATTCCATTATAAATATGTATGGGTTCGTAATGCCACTATATTGGTCAAGGAAACTGATGATTCATCAGCCTTTGCAGTCCGCACGGAAGATGATATACATAAAAAGTTCAAATCTAACAATCCCTCCAATAAAATCATCGATAAAAACCCATCTTAAATTATATTGTTTGTATAACCTTTCATTTAAAAATAAAACATTGTTCTGTATTGTTTTTTATCGCTTGTATGGTACGTTCAAAGGTGTCATTATTTTTTGCTCCATATTTTAAAATACTGTTTCCAATATAAAATAAAACTTGATAACATTGCACACACGCGTCACGGTCCTGACACCGTGGTTACATTGTTGCTGGATACTATAAACACTTAGATGTATTGTACGTTTACTCGCTGTTTTATGTTTCCGATGTAATGTTGATGGATTGCCGTCGGAGTTGTGAGTATTGGTTTTTCTTTATTAAAGGTGTGAGTCTGGGATTTACTTTTGTAATTAATATCATTATACCCCCACGTTCTGAAAATGGCTGACAATGACAAACTTTCCGTTTATTACCAAAACTGTCGAGGAATCAGGACGAAACTAAATACCTTATATTTAAATATTTTATCACATACATATGACGTCATTATCTTGACCGAGACCTGGTTGACGCCGGACATAGCCGATAGTGAATTTATTGATCATCGCTATTTGGTATTCAGATGTGATCGCAACCGTGCACTCACTAATAAAAGGGATGGAGGTGGTGTCCTTGTGGCCGTGGCGAAGGAATTAAAACCGACCTACCTCTCATTTTTGCCCCCGTTAGCATTGCCGGAACATGTTATAGTGAAAATACCCTCTAGTGATAATAGATATCATTTAATTTGTGCGACCTACATACCTCCGGGCTCTGATGAGAGAATGTATTTGACTTTTCTTGATTCTCTGTCTGTTTTATGTGACAACCCTCATATTGATAAAATTATTTTAACAGGTGACTTCAACTTGCCTTTGATTAATTGGGAAAAAAAGTCAACTTATATGAAGTATGCTTTTAACAATAAAAACACAGATATAAATTGCAATCTGATGAACTTCTGCTCTCAACAATGTCTAAATCAGTATAACCATGTATTTAACTCGGTGGGACGCATCCTGGATTTATTTTTTGTAACACTTACACCGTTTTGTTTGCCCCGGATACTCCCCTCTTACCTGTAGACACTTTTCACCCTCCTTTCTATGTACACGTTTCTATCTCCTGCCCCTCACACAACTCCAAGCGCAATGCTAATGGGAGACTCAATTATCACAAAGCTAACTACAAAAATATAAATGCGGAGTTAAGTAATGTTGATTGGAACTATTTACTCGATAATTTGGCACCTAATGATTGTGTATCTGCATTCTATGAAAAACTTTATGAAGTAATAAAAACGCACACGCCAGTAGTTAGACCTAAAAATGTGAATTACCCGATATGGTTCTCTGGGTCTCTTATAGCTATATTTAAATGTAAAACTCGTGCTTGGTGTAGATGGAAGAGGTACGGGAATCTGCGCGATTATGAGATGTTTTCCATCAACAGAACTAAATTTAAAAAAGTAGCTCATCAATGCTATATTAACTATATAAACTCTGTTGAGGACAATGTTGCTACTAATGTTAAAGCTTTTTGGACTTATGTTGCTAGCCGTAAAAATATTAATAAAATCCCAACATCGGTTCATTACAATCATGCATCATCTAATGATCCTATCACTACCTGTAACTTGTTTGCTAAATTCTTTCACTCGGTGTATGAGCCCTCTTCCTTTGACTGCGACTCATGGATCCCGCCCAATGATGAGGCCGAAAATGATATCAACCTGTGTAAACTGCAACTTCCCGTAGATGCTATACGTGAAGAATTGAAATCCCTTGACCCATCTAAAGGTCCGGGCCCAGATGGAATCCCATCAGTCTTTTTAAAAAACACAAGTGATACAATTTGCTATCCCTTATTTATCATATTTAATAAATGTTTATCGTATGGCGTCTTTCCTGATACTTGGAAACATGCAAATATTGTTCCAGTTCATAAGAGTGGATCCAAACATGACGTTACGACTTATCGGCCCATATCTATACTGTCTGCATTCTCTAAACTCTTTGAGAGACTAGTACATAACGTGGTTTATCCGACCATACATAATGTCCTCATTGGTGAGCAGCATGGATTCGTTAGGGGTAGATCTTGTATTAGCAATCTCCTAATTTTCACGTCTTATCTATTTAAAGGTATTGATTCTAGACAACAAATTGATGCAGTCTGCACAGATTTCCAAAAGGCGTTTGACAAAATTGATCACAAATTGCTACTTAATAAAATCGCTTACAATGGGATTAGGGGGGATCTTTTGCGATGGTTTGTGTCTTATATAACTAATAGAACGCAAAAAGTTGTGATAAGTGGCTTCGAGTCCAGCTGTATTTCGGTCACGTCGGGTGTCCCTCAAGGTTCCATTCTGGGTCCTTTACTCTTCATTTTATTCATTAATGATATAAAAATCTGTTTTCAACATTCTAAGTTTCTACTTTATGCAGATGATTTAAAGGTATATAAAGTCATAAATAACAGGCAGGACTGTATTAATTTCCAGCATGACCTAAATCGTTTTTCAAATTATTGCTTCACCAATAAGCTTTTTCTCAGTCTTCCTAAGTGTCACGTTATAACATTTACCAAAAAGAAAAATAAAACTGAATTTAATTACTCCCTTGCTAATACTTTCCTGGTTAAAGTTAATTGTCTTCGTGATCTTGGGGTCCGGTTGGATTCGAAGCTACATTTAAATGTTCATATAGATGGAATAGTTAGTAAAGCATACCAAATGTATGGTTTCGTTATGAGGGCCTCTAGGGAGTTTCGTAGACCTTCCACCTTTTTGTATTTATACAAATCTATAATTAGACCTCAATTGGAGTTCGCAGTACCTATATGGAACCCGCTGTACAAGAAATATAATGATACTTTGGAGATGGTACAACGCAAATACATTCGTGCAGTTGGTTATAGATGTGATCGCAGAAGATCCTCATACTATCCATTACTTAAAAAGTATGATCTTCTAACATTACAGTCGCGACGAACGTTCCTGGACATTATGACTCTGTTTAGTGTGTGTCGCAATGGGTTCGATTGTCCTGACTTGATTAATAGTATATACTACCTGGTTCCTCGCACAGCTTATATACGGGAGGTGCGCGATCGGCGTTTGTTTGCCAATAACTATTGCAGAACCAATGCTGGCTCACGTTCGCCTCTTCATCGCATGGTCGAGGCTTACAGCGGTGAGTTTAACGGAATTGACATCCTATTTTTGAGTAAAAACGTTTTTAAGAGGCAAATTCGGACATCTCTTATGGATCGACAGTCTGTCTGTGACGCTGTGTGTGTGCGAAATTGCAAGAATTGTAAAAATTGTTAAAATTTGTTGGTGACCATTTTAATTATTCGTGTAAGTGGTGCATCGTAAATCTATGAAGGCTATTGTCTTTGTTTCACATTAGATTCTATTTGAAAATGTAACTATATTTGTGTCACTCTAGATCTAATATAAAAAGTAATCTGTGGAGAACGTAGTGGGTAACATATTTGCCAAGTATAATGTGTAAGCTGAATTATGTATATTTTGTAATATGTTACTGTTTGTTTTTCCTTAAATAAATAAATAAATAAATAAATAAATAATATAATTCACAAACTCTTGTACAAAATCTATATGTTAATAGCAGGCTGACGTCACGTCAACAATGACGTGTCGTGTCGTGTCGTGACGTGTACGTCATTACCATCAAACTGGCGTTAAGCCTGCCACTCCCAAACTATCATTACTGAGCGATTAATTATACAGCCATGCCAGGTCTAATTGTATGTCTGTTTGTAGGTTTACTCTAGTTGTGTACTTCCTATAGCTATGGCGCTTTTGTCAATTTTATTTAGTGTAATTGGGTAGTTTTGTCAGATGAAAACGAACTGGTATTTTTTTTATAAATATGCAACAATAATTACAAACTTTTATTAATTGATTTCTTGATCTTTTTTTATGGTATAAGCCAGTAAACGAGCAGACGGATCACCTGATGGTAAGCAATCGGCGCCGCCCATGGACACCTGAAATCCCAGATGCGTTACAAGTGCGTTACCGGCCTTTTGGGAATTAGGAGTTTGAGGATCGTTGGGGATTCAGGGATTGAGGAGATTAGGCAAGGGGAGGGTAATTGGGCCTCCGGTAACCTCACTCACACGACGAAACACAACACAAGCGTCGGTTTTCTGTAAGGCCGTGGTATCACTCCGGTCGAGCCGGCCCATTCGTGCCGAAGCATGGCTCTCCTACACTTAAAAATCTCTTTATATACCGATAGATAGACCGCTAAACGAGCAGATGGAATACCTGATAGTTATCTATCGACGTTGTTTATGGAGACCCGCACCACCAGACTAGGTGGCCACTAATAGGGCATAACGTAATTCAAGCGTTGTTTCACGAAGATATTCTGTGATAGCGAAGTATCAGTCTGGTCAAACGACGCACTCATACCGATAGTTATGCCATGTAAAGCCATGGCTTAGGATGTAGAACTCAAGTAGTATTTGTGATTAAAATAATCTAGTATCATACTCACGTAAACATATCATTAATTTTAATCATGACGTCATGTATCAGTTGCTTCTTTTCTTCATTCTTCTTCCTCATAGCTTCTGTTCTTGCCTTCTGTTCTTCTAGAAGACTGAGCAATTTGTCCATTTTATTCTTCTGTTTGTTCTCTGTTTGTTCTATAGACTCTCGGCGGTCATCTAAAGGAGAATTTTAGATTTTATTAATAAATCAAAATCATGAATCTCCAAAATGATTTAGTTTAAAATCTTACAAACATAATTTACATAAACATAATTAACTTGAGACTAAAATTTCATGTTCTGGGTGTAATTACCCCAGTGATTACCTCATTGGTTGAGTTCCCAAGCTCCCAAGCTTATACCTTACCACCTACTTAAGCACTTAACGGCTACACACAGTTGTTAGTGAAAGTAAAAATTGTATTCAGGAGACATCAAAATCTTTCCATCATAAAGAATAATTACATGACATAACATCACGCCTTTTATCCCCGAAGGGGTAGGCAGAGGTGCACATTATACCACTGTACAATGTAAAACCCACTTTTCACTATTTATGTTATAAGTCCCATGTAATAGGGGGTGAGCTTATTGCCATATACCGGGCACAATTCCAGATTCTGTGCTACTACTGAGAATATTAAAAAAACCCAATACTAATTTGCCCGACCGGGAATCGAACCCGAGACCCCTTGCCCGGCAGTTGCACTTACGACCACTCGGCCAACGAGGCAGTCAATAAAATATAATTCTTCTTTAAATACCACTTACCATCGGATTCCAAAAAACTACAAAAGAAACTTAAAAACTCTGACTACAGAAATTCAGAATAAAGAAACTCACAGACTTGTTGCCTAATATCCTGTACATCACGGCGGAGCACCTGATTCTCAGAGCAGTACACGGTCAGCATCAGGTATATGGAGAAGTTCTCCTGCTCCTTCTTACGGAATAAATCCAATATTTTGCGAGTGCTGTTTTCTCCAGTGTAGTCCTTGAAAGAACACAGAATTATAGTATCTAAGATATATAACATCACCCCTTCTTATCCCCGAAGGCTACCCCTTCATTATTACATGTATTATTGGATTAAAAAAAATATTTCTCGGTAATAGCATGGTGTCTGGAATTGTGCCCGGTATATGACTATAGGCTCACCCCCTATTACATGGGACTCATAACATAAATAGTGAAAAGTGGGTGCTACATTGTACAGTGGCATTAAGTGCCGTAATATGCACTTCTGTTTACCCTTTCGGGGATAAAAGGCGTGATGTTATGAATGTTATGTAGATTATTGTTTGGAATAACACATAGGTATTTTTATCGAAGAAGCCACGGGCAGAAGCTACTTAGTACTAAGTGAAAAGTTTACATCAAAATTAGTCACATTAGCTGACACGCTGCTGAAACGTACACTGCTGAAAATAATTTATTTTTCAGTTTTCTAACAAAATTTTCAAAGAAACTCTACTTTATAGTTATACTAGAAAACTTACCGAAATATCATCCAAAAGCCGAACATGGTATTGATAGCGCTTTTTTTGCTTCTCATCCGCTATTCTTCTCTGTTCTTCTTCTCTATTCTCTTGGATTCTGTTGATTCTTGTCATACCCTTGGTGGCTAGGAACTGGTATACTTTCATCTCATGGTCGTATGCTTTTATTAGGTCTCGCATTTCCTGGAACATAAAATAATATTCCCTGAACATAGACGTGACTATCGTGAGATATTATACTAAATTAACTAAAATATACTGAGAAAAGCTCTACTAGTTTCAAGCCACAGAGGGGTTCTTCCTCATGGGCAGTCGCGGTCGTGGCGATGTCGCGCAGCCTACTGATAATCATCACGTGAGTAACCCGCGATTTTTAATTAAAATTGACGAAAGAGAGAGCCCAGTTCAATAATATGACATAGACCTTATTGCCATTGAACGTGGCAATGCTGCCAGTCTTCTGGGAACGTTTCCCGGTGATAATAATGCGGACGAGTACTGTGACATCTAATTAAGGGTATAATTGTATTGTTTTTTTTTTACTTTCTCTTTTTAGTCTTTCTAGTTTAGTTGTAGTTAATTTTAAGTTGTAAATATTTATGTAGTAATAATTGTTACTTTAAATTTAAAAAAAAAGCTTATTCACAGTGACAAAGAAAACAATATCTAAATTGATGATCAAGTTTCGTTCCCTAGTTAAGTAACCCCAAGCGACATAAAGATGTAAGTTTAAATGATGCAACTCTGTCTTTAACAATGCTAACTTCAGTTATCTCATAGGGTACGTTAACTGTTAAACTTATGACTGCCTCATTGGTTTTAGTCACGGAAGCACTTATGAAGGTGTTAACTTCAATTACGGAGTCGAGACGTAAGCTAAGTTTTTGAAAATTTCAGTAGAGATATAAAGTTGTTAATTTTCTTATTTACTGGGCATGGACATTCTTTACAAAGGAGAATTTGATACAATCTCCACGTTTGGTAAATGTGTTGGAGATCGTAGTTCAAGAGGTTTAGGTTTATCATAGTTTACAGCTGCCCGGTTTCAATTAAACGCGTAAGCCTCTTTGACACCTGCGGAAAGAGTAAGGTGACGAACAATTTATACTCAGCGGTCACCACGTGGCAAAGGTAATTGTTAAATGTTCTATAGTGTACATTATCTCCTTTACTCAGTACCAAACGTTTTTTTTTTAAAAGAGTAACGAATGGAGTTTTTTGCTCGTTCTTCTCCACTCGAATCGACATTTTGGAACGAGCGCCTAGCTTCACTGACGGACAGACTGACAGACTATTATTTATTTCATATTTGTTGACGTTTCAAAAGTACCAAATTATGGTTTAATTGAAATAAATGCTTTTGAGTTTGAGTTTGAAACATCATCATCACACATTAGATAGAGTTAGGGACCTGCCCATCTTCATACAATAGCATTGACCCTACTGTCGCTATCTATCTTTTTTGTCTCCCGAAGTGACCCGCAACCCTTTTTGTTTGAATTGTTTGTTTTTGTCAAAAACAATTCGGTATGGAAGTCAAAACATACAGAAAAAGTATATCAAGTGTACTTTCAGTTCATTTATCAAGTTGTACTGACAAAAGATGGGTGCATTGCTCCCTGAGCGGGTACGTAGAGATGCACTTAAGAAATGTTATGTTTTATTTTTTCCAACGTAATAAAAAAATAGTAAATACTAAGAGCTACCTTAGTTGAGTGACAGAAGTGTGATTATCAAGTTTCTTCATTTACATCTAGATTCGTAATCAAAAGAGCGAAATATAGACAGCGTTGAGTCACTTCCCGTATCAGCTAAATCTGTTATTATATCTATTCTTAGTAAAAGCATAGATTCAGTAGTTACTTCGATGTCTGACAATGCGTTCGCCCCTATTGCATCGTAACTTAAATAGTGATATTGCACAATGCACATCTGTAAATTGCTTCCATAAATCAAAGTAGGTGACGTCTAATTATGTACCTGCACTTGCAACATCTGATCAATCTTCCCCTTCTCCTGCATGGTCCTCAGCTTAGTGCACCACTCGTCCCTCTGGTCGTAAGCCAGGGTCGAGGACTCGAACAGGTCGTATAGGAACTTCTTGCCCTTGCCCAGAACTGCCATCATCTTGTCCCATGATTGGTTGAAGAGGGCACTGTGAAGATGATGTTGCTCAAAAAAGGAGGCTCTAAATGTGTGTATGTATGATTAATTTTGCGCGATTGTCTTACGATTGTCTGAAGCGATGCGGATGCGGTTTTCAAAAAGGTTTTTGTTACATTTGGGGGAAACTTTTATTAACTAACCGAGTTTAAAAAGAGGGGGATGAAGTCGGTTTTTTAAACGTATTTTATAAAAGAAATACTTATTCCAGACTTGATGTGAACTATACATTATTATAATTGTAGTGTATGTTTGTAATGTTAAAATAACAGCTTCTTACTATATGCACATATAATATACATACAAAACAAAATTATATAAAAAAAAACATTTTAACAATTTATGTCTGTCTGTTTGTTCTAGCTAAGCTCTGAAATGTCTGGACCGGTTTTGACGGGACTTTCATTGGTGAGTAGCTGATGTATTAACTCTTTGAGTACCGTCATTATAGACACAATTAAATAACACTAGGTTGCAGTCACCGGTGTCGTCGCGGTGTTTGACAGTTTAAGGAGTAACTGAGGCTACTTGTTCCACCAGCTGGTACTTAATAAAGTTAGTATTAAAACATATTTTCGTTGCATTAAAACAATGAGCAAAAGTGGGCATTACACATGTGTCTATTTCTATAACTATAATTGTACTATCAGTAAAACAGTACCGGTCCCGCAACATATGCTCAATCTCCTCTCTGATCTTCTTGTTCTCGCACTGCACAGCGTTGAATCTCAGCTTGGCAGCCTCCAGCTTGTTCTCTGCTGATATCAGGCGGTACTCACTTTGCCAGCGACGTTCTTCAATCTAGAAGGAATAAGAATAATTTAATTTTCCATCCTCCTTATCATCATTTCAGTCCTGGATATCTTAGTGCTGGGGGTAAGTTGCGATTTTGCTATTAATTGGGCGTCCGGTAACTTTACTTATACGACGAAACACAACGCAAGTGTTGTTTCACTGCTGGGCAAGGTATCTCGGGTTCGATTTCCGGGTCGGGCAAAGTATTACTGGTTTTTTTTTTAAATAATCTCAATAGTAGCACGGAGTCTAAAATGGTGCCCGGTATATGGCAATAGGTTCACCCCCTATTACATGGTACTCATAACATAAATAGTGAGAAGTGGGTTTTACATTATACAGTGGTATTAAGTGCCGTAATGCCACTGTCTACCCCTTCGGATGAAAGGCGTGATGATCTAGAATTCTAGTTTCTTTACCTTTCCCTGTGTAGTACTCGCTAGTTTTCTAAGATTCATAGTTTCTTTGTAGTTTTTCTGTATCAAACCGTTGTATTGTTGCATCATCGATACGTGAGCTGAAATTAAATAATACCGACGTACATAATGCATTGCAATGGAAGCTATCGTATTTTTAGTCAGTAATTAAATGTAGTTAAAAATGTTTGTCCAATCACAGCGAGTTGTCAAATACTGAACGTCCAATCGGGTTACACTAGCTATTTCCCTATTGGACGAAGATTGAAAGGTTCACTAGCAAAAAGGTGAGCAAACATACGGTAGGCCGCATTGTACTATCATGGCTAGTCTTTGAATAGTAAAGTGAAGAGGACTTTAGATACTATTTCTGTGGTTGTGTGATCATAAATGCAACTACAACGTACATAATATGGCATGGCCTGAAACTAGTCGAGTTCCTTGTCAAACAGTTACATGAGTAAGCCGAAAACATAATAATTAATTAGAATGTACTAGTTTTGGGTTTGAAGTCTGGTTCAAAATACTATTGAGTTCTTAGGTTTTAAAATTAAGTTTGGCTGCACTGTTGGCGCGGTGGCAGGGCAACGCGTTGCGGGTTCGATTCCCGCACGGAACAACTCTTTGTTTAATCCACTGATTGTTGTTCCGGGTCTGGGTGTCATGTATTGTGTATGTGAACTTGTATGTTTGTAAACGCACCCACGACACAGGAGAATATCCTAGTTTTGGGCAACTTTTTTATAAAATAAAAAAATCTTTGTAAATTACTTTTACATGTTTGTGTAAAGATATTTTTTCACTATAATACTAATGTTGGGTATCTTTGGAGGTAGAAGAAAATTTTGATCGGTGTAAAAGGCGTGTCGAGTGCATAACCGCCCTTTTTGTTCGAGATTCGTCAGACCGTCAATACGTTTGTCCTGGTATCCAATATTTCTTTGTTAGTTTGCTAAGTTCGTAGTAATTTTGTCACTATTATTTAGTCGTTCTAATTACATTTTTTTTAAGTTTATCGTTGTATTTCTCTTCTTAAAACAAAGGTTTCTAGTTTCTACGCAATCTTCTTTACTCATTGGACGCTATAGGTAACGACAGGTTTTGCAATCGTAAGTTCCAAAGAAAAACAATTACTATTGCACCATTTTCCCCACTCATAAACTTTGGGGGTGTGTAACCGATCAATGTACTACGACCGCGTAGCAATGACGTCAGCTACGACGTAGCTCGTAGCTAGTGTTCGTAGCACTCTCGTAGCAGCAAAGACTTTTTTGATTATAAAAAAAACGGAACGATTTTATTTTGACTTCGTATGTACTGTTGTACTGTTTAAATAAATAAGTACTTTACATTTCGGAATACATAATTGTAAAAGTTATTTATAATAGTTTCATTGTTTCCCGAAAAAAGAAACGATTTTTCTATGTAATTCGTCATTAATATCGGAATACTCAAACGCTACTCAATTTTAAGTCGTGCTTAAGTATAGTTCTGTCGCTACAAATTCTTTGTAAAATGAAATAGATGACACGATATTTAAGCACGACTTAAAATTGAGTAACGTTTCAGTATTCCGTATTATAAGTTTTTATCGAAAATTAAATATTAGACGAATAATAAAAATGGCGAATATGAATGACTTTTACTTTTTTTTAAATGTACAATGTTGAAAAGTTGGATTGTTTGTTTGTTTGAACGCGCTATTCTCCGAAACTAGCGGTTGGGTTTGAATAATTATTATTGTGTTAAAAAATCCATTTAACTATGGAGGAAAGGTAAAGGCTATTAAACTTCCCGCTACGATCAATAGGAGCGGGTGAAACCGCGGTAGTAGCTAGTATTTTATACTACGTGTTTGTCGTCTTTGTGTTTACCATCACACTCCTGTTGAGCTGCAACGCGGAGCAGCAATGACTTCCGTAGTTCAACTTTCATCTTCTTGTCTTTCTTCTTATGAGCTCCAGATCTGGCGATCTGAGAAGGAAAGAGTTTGAAGTCTTAATTAAACATGTCTCTAGTGACACTAGGTGATGTGGCTTCAGGGCTGGTCTACTAAGAGGACCCGGTACCTCCTTCAGGTGCGGATGATGACCACCGGGGAGGTTTTAGTGAGATAAAAATTCCACACGTCTTTTCCTCTAAAAAGCTAGGCGCCTTTTAAAGATTTCTCCTCGTCAACAGAAATAGAAAGGAGATGTTTATTAAGCTTTTAGCTATCACTACAAATATAGTTAGCGGTACAGTTACTGACAAGTACTGATCACGTGAGTTTCGGGACTGCCTTGTTGGCGGAGTAAGGATTAGCGTTGGGAATTACTTTAAACAAATTCTATTACACTGACTCATAACAGTGAGTGTTAGATTTAGTCATGAGGGTATTTTATTACTTATGAGATTAATTTATGAGGACATTAATTTTTCTATTTTACATCGCTAATTTAACCGTGCTTCAAGACAATGGGTTCGACTCCATTTTCTGAGAGTTGTACTAATAAGACAGTTGTTAAAATATGTGAGGTGCTGGTAATGGCACGACTCCTTTGAATTCATCATTATGTTACCTTAAGGTCTTTAGAAAGGTTGCGGTATTCCTTCTTTAAGGCCTGCATGAGCATGTCCTGTCTTCGGAACTGAGGGTGCACCCCCATGTTGCGGTGCTGACGATCCACCTGGATCAATCGGACCTGGTGGACGAATAGGATTTATTAGAAACTAGGATTTTTTTTAAGGCATAAGAACTTTCTCCTAATAGCAACAACTAAAACAAAAAACCAATTTGTGAAATCGGTCCAGCCATTCACGCGTGATGCCGTGACCAACGAAAAAAAGGATTCATTTTTATGTACAGGGTGTTCCTGAAGTCTGAAGTGATGATCTGCAAGGTTCATAAAGTTATCAGAAAAATAAAAAAAATCCAAGTCAGACAGTTTTTAACAACAACAAATAAGTGTCACCTAACAATACAAGGTGTACGTCACGACAAATAACGTTTAGTTAAGAAATGGTTTAGTAGCGGTGAAATCGGCGATGAATAACTAAATGGTCTTTAGGTTCTGTCTCTGACTTCATGAACCTATTACCTGTCTCTGAAGCCTTAAGTGTTCGTCTTCCATCTTTTTCAAAACCTCGTAATCAATGCTATGAACCTCAATCGGTTGTACCACTTCCATTTTTATTAAAATTTGAATTGTATAATATGACTTAGCAATTCGTAAATTGTGTATAAATTATAATTGATTTTGAAACCAACTAGATGTTGTTAAATTTTTTCGGAAGTAAATTGCACTAATGTCACTTCAGTCTAATTACGAATCATTTTGAATTTCATATGGAAACTTACCAATTCATTGTATGTAACACTTAATGATTTTGTCGAACTCATTGTGTAAAAGTATTATAAAATATACACCAAAAAATATAAGTATACAAAAGTATAATATACATCCAAAAATATAACTGCATAAAACGGGCTTTCCAGTCTAAAAATGTGAAAACAGGAGCCACCTAGAAATATGATTTTTCAAACATTTATTAGTCACTTCGTAATAATTTTTTCACCATTTTTTGATAGGATAAGCAGGTAAACGAGCTGACGGATCACCTGATGGTAAGCAATCGGCGTTGCACATGGACACCTGAAACACTAGGGCGTTACAAGTGCGCATCATCGTTATCATCCTCCCATTTTCAGTTTTTAACCTTGGTTTCCCTTCAGCTTCAGATATAACTTATTTCACTGCCAACAGAATGTGTCCTAGAAAATAGTTTGCTTTAAGACTCCGTGAAATAATTCTATGAAAGAATTAAGTACATTATTTATTAAAAATATCTACACTAACACGCTATAACTATGCGTGTTACGCGAGCATGGGTCAAACTGACCATCACGGATGGGGCCCAATAGAGCTGATGCTGATACGGAGCCGCGGAGGACTTAACGGGTTGCCGGGGCTCCGGCTCGAAGTGCAGGAATAGGAACGGGGTAGTTTTAGTCAGTAAGAGTCTGGCACTCCCTCCCGCCTCACCCAGGTGGGAGCAGTGATTCGATGATTTCCCCCCCTTACAAAAAAGAAAAACAAGCTAAACTAGGCTATTTACTAAAAAAGAATTATTTACTAAAGTAAGGTTTAAGAAAAAAACATACAGAGACGCGTGTATAACAATATGAAATTATAAAACTTTTTTTGAAACCACGAAAATTATTCAACGACTTTTCTCGTTTTGTGTGAAGCGGGAGAGAGTGTCAGAGATTTACTGACTAAAAACTCCGTTCCTTCTGCTACTTAGATTACAACCGGCGCCCCTGTAAACCGTTCGATCGCCCACCACTCCGTAATATTGCACACATTAAAATAATGTTTGCTGCATCACTGAAGCACGAAGTAGGAAACCTTAACACTAGCATGTAGGTTTAACAGAAGTCTTTATATCTAGCAGGTGCAATTCCCACCAAACCATTGTCACTATTGTAGTAAACTAATATTATTCTTAATACTATTATGTATTATATTTATGAAAGAAAGGTGACATTTATTCTCATAAGGAGCTCCAATACTATAAACTTCCCTTAAGGCTCTTATCTTATAGTATTACTAGATTTTACCCGCGGCTTCGCTCGCGTCACGAAAGGATAAAAAGTAGCCTATGTGACATATATCAATAATTTCGTATTTCCTCGAGAATATCAAATTATTCCGGGATAAAAAGTACCCTATTAATCCTATTATTTAATCCAGACTTCTAACTTCACATCTCCAAAAATTCAAAGCAATCGGTTTAGTAGTTACGGCGTGAAAGTGGAACAAACAATCAAACAAACAAACTCACTTTCCGATTTATAATATTATAGTAAGGATATAACGCTGAAGAGTTTTTGTTTGTTTGCTTGTTTGTTTGTTTTTACGCACTAATCTCCGGGACTACTCAGCCGACATGAATAGTTCTTTTTGTATTAGATAGGGCATTTATCGAGGAAGGCGAGTTTTATAGCCTTATAAATATATAACATCACGCTGCGATCAAAAACAACAGAGCAGAGCGGGTGAATCCGCACGGGAATAGGTAGTCCATACATAATAGTTCTTTATTAAATATCACTGGCAACACTTAGCTCCTGAAGTTAAGCTGTGTTGCCAGCACTCGCCAACAAGTTGCATTGTTGCCAGACTAAAATGAACGATTGTATTGTGCGGCAATATAATGTATTGTTAACAATTCCTGTTTCAAGTTTCTTGGATTTAAACTGTAATGTTAAGAATAATAGAAAAGGTTTGATATTTTGTATTGTGCTTAAATCGGGTAAATATGTAGGTAATTTTATTTCTATTTGCTAAATTTGTTAATAATAGTAACTTCTTTTATTATTGTTGACTGCTTCGTTGCCCGAGTAGTCGCAATTGCGATTGCTGGGCAAGGGGTCTCGGGTTCGATTTCCGGGTCGGTCAAAGGGTTACTGGGGTTTTTAAAAATCTCAGTAGTATCACAGAGTCTGAAATTATGCCCGGTATATGGCAATAGCTCCTATTACATGGGACTGATAACGTATATAGTGAAAACTGGGTGTTACATTGTACAATGGCATTAAGTGCCGTAATATGCACCTCTGCGTACGCCTTCGGGGATTAAAGGTGTGATGTTATTTTATGATATTATATCATGATCGTTCCAAATCAACTGGTTAAATGCAACTAGCGGGTCTCAGCGACCAACACTTACTTAGATATGAGTTTTATTTTTTGCCTGCTGAGCGTCATGTCATAAAAGATTGAGTTCAATTAGCGTTATGGCTAAATAATTATTAGGTAGATATTGAAATCTTCTTGGCATCATGTAGTTTATCGTTCCGACCCAGATTAAGTAATACAAGAAGACATAAATGACAAAATAAAGCTTATAATAGCTGTTTGACTGCGCATTTAGTGGTGACTGGGCAACTGGCTGCCATGCATCGGGTAAGGTGTACACCTTACCAGTTGCCTAGCCTAGCCAGTTGTACAATTGGGATGATGACAGGGTATGAAAATTAAAAATCTAATTAGTCCGTAAGTTGGGTAACGAAAAAATATTAGACACGTATTTTTTATTTTGTCGTATAATAAAACAATACTTAGATAAAACGAATCAAAGTTTAGGAGTGGGGGCTAAAACGTCATTTCTACGTATAAAATATACATAGAAGTGACGTCATGCGCCATTTCAAATAAATATATCGTCAAAAGTATTTGCTTCTGTAAGAAAATAAAAAATACGTGTGTAATGTTTTAAAATAATATACCAACCGGACATTAATATAAAAATTAGGCATCTACCCTATTCCCGCACGGAGCAACTCTTTGTGTGATCCACAAATTGTTATTCCTGGTCTGCGTGTGCTTGTAAAATTGTATGTTTGTAAACACACCCACGACACATGAGAAAATCCTAAGGTAAAGATAAAGATAGTTTATTTGCAAGCCTATATCCTAGCATGGGATAATGGTTTTTAAAACCAAAAATAAGTTTTCTGCCTCCTTCTTCTCCGAATAACGTGCATGATGGTTCATGATCCATGAAAACTTTTGTCAGCATCAGATCCTGTATTCATTCACAAGTCGACCGTTTTCATTCACAATGCGTTTACTATCACACCGAACTATAATTAATTTTATTAATTTATTAGGAGTGTAATATATCATTACATTTGCTATGCTGCTGAAATTAATTTGTGTTAATACTCTGTATTTATAGTTAAGTAAAAATCGCGGGTTACTCACGTGAATATACTGAGAAAAGCTCTACTAGTTTCGAACCACAGAGGGGTTCTTCCTCATGAGCAGCGTGTGCGGTCGCGGCGACGTCGCCGCTTTTCTCAGTATATTCACGTGAGTAACCCGCGTATTTACTTAATTTAGTATGTCTCACGATAGTTATTAAAAAAACTCTGTATCTATAGTATTTTAGCTGTTGAGTTTTGGTATACAATTGTATTTCTAAACTCCAGACTGTAGGTATTAAATTTGTTGTCCTCAAGGTTATTTTCTTTTTCTTTCTCCTTGACTGGATATTGGTATTCAACGAAACAATGCAACCAAGAATTGTATTACAAACATGATTAAAAAAAGAGTAACATATGGAGTTTCTTGCTCGTTCTTCTTCAAAGGACTGACCGATAGACGGACATTTTATTTTGACGTTCAAAAGTGCCTTCCTGGTCTAATTGAAATAAATAACTTTGACTCAAATCAAACAGAAATCACATCGATAAACAGAAACACCACGCCACGCCACCACAACATTCTATTATTATTATATATTATATTCTATGAAACTGTGCCCGGTATATGGCAATAGGCTCACCCCCTATTGCATGGGACTCATAACATAAATAGTGCACCTCTGCCTACCCCTTCGAGGATAAAAATTTCAATATTAATACACAAAATTTCGATATTAAAAAACTAATAAGAAATGTTTTGTTGAAATGTATACTTAATCAATTCATTTCTAGAACTACACTAAATACAAGTGAAAATTTATACATTTAAATTGCAGTTCGGTGTAAGAGGCGGCTAAGCGGCGGGGGCTCTTTGTAAAACCCTCTCTTTAATGTTGCCGCCGCCTTTGAATTCAGCGCTCCATGCAACTCTGATTTTCTTTTTCAGCTATTGGTTTTTTAAATGCTATGTCCAATGGCTCTGTGTAATTAGCTCGGCTTTTCATGATTTTCAGAGATTTATGACTTAGGTACTGTCTGTAATAAAACTTTTTGTTTAGTACAAATGTTTATTATACTCCAGATAAGATTACGCCTTGTAATCTCTGAAGGGGTAAATAAAGTGCACATAATAAGACGCCTACTTTTCACTATTTATGTTATGAGTCCCATGTAATAGGGGTGAGCCTATTGCCATATACCGGGCACAATTCCAGACTCCGTGGAACCAATTAGAATATTTTAAAACTCAGCAGTACTTTGCCCGACCAGGGAATCAAACCCGAGACCCCTTGCCCGGCAGTCGCACTTGAAAAAGCTCAGCTAACGAGGTAGTCATTATAATCATCATGTTTTTTGACACCCTAAAAGGAGAAAGTTCTTAATTTGGCCGATGTCTTGTTTTTTGCAGTCCACTGCCATCAGTGATCTATGAATTTAGCATGCTTTATATATACCATGCTAAATTTCAGATTCCCT